GAACGTAATGAAAAAGCGAGCGTCGTAAAAACTATGAAATCGATAATAACCTTTTAATTAAACAAAAAAAAAAAAAAAAGAAAAAAAAGAAAAAAAGAAAAGAGAAGAAAAAGCAAGACTTTTACCAGAGCAATTACGCGACCCAAATCGTCGGAAACTCTGTAAGCGGATCGCACGATTTCACCGAGTCGAATTCACGAAAGTAACGAATTTTGCGAGGAAAGATTTTTTTGTCGCCTTTCTCGCGCGTTACTTTACATTCCGTCCACGTTGGTAGGAACACGCATACGTTACAAACATATATACGCAAGTCACACAACGAATCGCGGATGTAAAAACGTCGCTGACGATGTTAAAGATGCGATCGAGATCGCGCGTTCGTCTGGCCCGGTTATATCGTATCTGGAATGCATGAAAAAGAAAAAGAAGAAAAATAAAAAGAGTAAGAAGAAGGAGAAGAAAGGGAGAAGGAGAAGAAGGAGAAGGAGGAACGGCGAAAATGGTGCTGCTCCTCATACTTCGTAAATTCTCAGCATACTCTTCTGCTCCTTCCTTCGGAGAATTCTGGATTACTCCTTTTTTTCTCCTTTTTTCTTTTCTCTCATTTTTTCCCCTCTTAAGGATCGTACGACGAAACGTTTTCGCGTGAGAAAATGCTCCAAGCTTTTGCCAAGAGAGAAACGAGTAAAGAAGAAGAAGACGACGACAACGACGACGACGACGACGACGACGACGACGACGACGACGACGACGACAACGACGAAGAAGAGGAAGAAGGAGAAGAGGAGGAACAGGAGAAGGAGAAGGAGCAGGAGAAAGAGGAGGAGAACGAAGTCGATCGGAAACGCCAAGAGGTTGCTTTTCTCCTTCTACCTTTCTCATTCTTCTTATCTCTCCTTTTTCTTAACTCTCCTCTCGACTTAGACTCCCGGACGTTAGTTTCTTCCTTTGCTCTCCGGACCGATTTCACTTAATTCGAGAGGGGTGTATGGGTCTTCGTGGAAAGAGAAAGAGAAAGAAAGAAAGATAAGGAAAAAGAACGCGAGTAGGAGAGCGTGAAGCCGAGTAAGAAAAGGGGATAATGGTGCTAGTCGCGGGAGAAGGAGAGAAAAAGGTAAAGAAGAAAAGAAAAGAAAAGAGAAGAAAAGAAAAGAAGGGAAGGGAAAAGAAAAGAAAGAGATAGAGAAAGAGTCTGAACTTTGGAATCCAATGCGCACCGTTGCTTTCATCTCCGAGTACGCTTCTTGGAAATGATAATGCTATTACCGAGGGCAGGATGTTCAATCGCTCGTGCAGATTTCAAAATTATATCCGCGTAAAGGAGAGCTTCTTTTTCTCTCGTAGCCTGCCAGAGGAAAATCCAATTGATAACGATGGTACGTCGTTGAAAGGGAAGAAATATCTTCTGCGCTCGCTCGCTCGCTCTCTCTCTCTCTCTCTCTCTCTCTCTCTCTCTCTATCTCTGTCTATTACGAATACTCGCGTATTCCCTTTTATTCTTTTTCTCGCTCGAGATCGTCGAAAAGAAATAAACATAAATCGAGACGTAACGATCGCCGATATTACTAGTGTCCTGTGCAGGAATAAAAGAGAACGAAAGAGTTCAAAGTTTGCCTTCATAATTTGTACGCAAAGTTATCGAGTGCATATGTACATATATGTGTATATAGATAGATACGTATATATAGACAGGCGTATACATATACGACGAGCCTTATTGTCAGAAGAAAAATAAAACTGTCAAGGGGGCGTCAGCTCGTGAAAGAGATCGCTATAACGAATTCTCTTTAAATTCCATTATCGTAGGAACGGTCCAATTACTCCCGTCTGGATCATTCGTAGGAACGATTTATCGGCCGTTTCGTTGGACAAGCGCACGAAAGGAGATCACTCTTCTGACGCGTTTCGAATCAATTAGCTCGAGTCGATGTCGAGAGTATATGTCGGGCCGACTTCAAAGAAGAGAATGTCGCTTATACCATCTAAAGAGATAGGGAGAAAGAGAAAGGTATTTAAATACCGAAAGGGAAATATTCGAGATAATTCAAGGCGGAAAAGAGGGAAAACATCGTTACAACGACCCATAACGCCTCGTTATGGCAATGAAACGTGCAAACGGGCCGATAAACACGGGGAAAAGCTCAGGCTGTGTAAAATCAACTGGTAGCACGCAATAGTGTACCTATGTATATAACGCTTTGATATTCGACTCTATTTAACACCAACGGCAACGGATGGCAAGCAACGAACGATCGTTGCTTGACGAATGATCGTTGATCGGGCTTCGATTCGAATCAATAATAACCCTTTGACGGCTTGATATCGTTTGACTTTAGGGAAATGCGAAAGAGAGGAAAATTAGTCTCGGAGGTTCACCAATTAGTCGGCTTAGATAACGCACACGCGTTTGTCAGTTGAAAAGAATAAGGGAAGATCCGTTCGATAAGCTTTCGATGTCTGCTCTTCGTGTCAATGATGTCGCCCCTCGGTCTATGTATATTATAACGATGACGATTAATTAGCGTCGGTCAAATTTCGGGCTTGCCCTTAAAATCAAAGTGACATTTATGAAACGGAATCGCGGCCACGCCGCAGTTGTCGCACTCGATCGATTACAGTAGAGTAATGAACGAACGCACATACCTATACGATGACATTCGGTGCATATACATAGGAATACGTTTGGAAAGACCGAAAGCCCGATTGCATGCGGGTGTATATGGCGCATTTGCGGGACGGCCTCGTCCGGAAACCGTTGTTATCCCAGTTCTAATTCGACTCCCAGTTAAATTATTACCGGCCGAGCGGCATTTCGCGGCCCGCCAACTGTGCTCGCTTTTATACGGCCAACCCGGCAATCACAACGCGACAACCGCTGCTACCTTTGTTATCATTCTATACGAGATGCGATCCGAGTGAAAATACGCCGGGAGCGTGTCGTCGCCAGGAAAGAGAGAGGGGAGAAAGCCTCGTTCCAAATTATACTTTGCGATCGATTCCTCCTCACTTTTTCTCTACTTTTTCTTTCTGCCTCGTCGTTTTTGTTCTTTTTTGTTCTTTTTTTATCTTTTTTTCTTTTTTCTTTTTTTTTCTTTCTTTCTTTTTTATCTTTTTCCGTCCTTTTCCCCCTTACTTCTGTAAACGCAATCGAGTCGTCGACGATAACCGAACTCGAAGCTCCGGTAACGGAGCGAGACAAATCGAAACGTCAGGAGGCAATAATTGCCGTCGCGAATGGAGGAAAAAAAAGGATCGGGAGAGACAGAGAGAAAGCGAGAGAGGCTTTCCGAAATGGAGCGACCAATTACTCGCTTCCACCCCTTCGGCTATTCTCCTCTCTGGTCCCGATGTTTTCCTTTCATTTCCATTGCGCGACAGGAGTCGTCGTCTCTCGCGCTCTCTCTCTCTCTCTCTCTCTCTCTTTTCCGTTTTTTGCCATCGCGAAAAGCGAACGTCCACGTGCTGGTAATTGGAAATTTCATGCATCTGACCCAGTTCGCGTACTCGCCGTCCCGCGATTTTAATCCGCGTCCGAGCACGAATCGCGACAAAAGAAAAAGTCTAGAAAATGAGGGACGACGGTGGTAAGAGTCGTAATCGGCGTGCTTCGTTAACGCTCGGAAAATAGCGTACAAAATCGGCGCTCGCTCGCAAACGAAATTGCGGATAAGCAAATAAGTCGTTATAGGTATGTAGACGTACGTCGTTATACGTGTACATTCATACGTGCGCGGAAAAACGAATCGGTTACAACTCGAGTACGAGGGGAACGCGTTTGCGTTAAAAAGGAAATAAAAAAAATAAAGAAAGGAACGCCTTTTCGATCTAAGCTATCTCTTTCCTGTGAAAATCCTATTCCTTTTAGGATTTTCAATGGCGTTTCAAAAGTTGAAAAACGTTAGCGAAGAAACGCGAGTATATATTGCAATAATTACGATTAATAAGGATAATACCGATAATATCAAAGCGTAAAATACTAAAAAGATCTTGGTTTGTATACGTGGATATGTATAATATATGCATATATACCGTGCCCATATTTACTTTTACGTTTACTGAAAAGAAATCCCAGACATTTGATATTTTTACTAAATATATACATACATACATATATATATATATACATATATATATATATATATGTATATATATATATATATACATATATATCAATCTCGCACGATCGATGTCCTTTTCATTAGCGCGTGAAATCATTTCTAAGGGTTATATATTAGCAGGACTGACAGAGTTCCGATAAATTGTCGGAAATAAACGGAATGTCTGGTAGAGATCACGAAGATAGAACGTTAAAGCGGAAAGAGAGAAAAGGAAGATGGAAAAGGAGAAAGAGAACAAAGCGACGGAAAGCAAGCACGACGATCATTAATAATATCCCGCTCTGTTATCTCCCTTTTACGCCCTGCGACAATGGACAACTGTGTAACAATAATGTTCCGGTTTTCCCGCGTTACGACCGTGAGGGTCATCCTCTCTCTCCCTCCCTCTCTCTCTCTCTCTCTCTTATGAGTAAGCGTGTTCGTGCGTGCGTGGGTGGGTGCGGGAATGAAAGCGACATACCGAAGTAATGAAATTTTACTAGAAATTAAGTAGCACAAAGTAGTCGTATATGAACGAGCACCACGCCTCGTACGGGCATTCGAATGAATTCCCCGCGGAGAACGAATTTCTTGGATGAGAATTTATCCGATCGTCTCTGTTCTCTCTCTCTCTCTCTCTCCCTCTGTCTTCTTACATTTTTAACGTTTACACTAAGACTAAGATTCACTTTTGAAACGTTGAACAATCAGCCAAGTACACAATTGTCCTAGTGTAATTAAGATGAGATAACGCGCAAAACCAGTACGGGGTAATTAGTTGGAACGTTAAAAAGTAAAAAATAAAAACATGTAAAAAGGAAAAAGAAGATAACAAAAGCGCTGTATAATTCGAGACCTTTCAACTCTTCTTCTTCTTCTTCCTCTTTTTATTTTTCTTTTTTTTTTTATCTCTTTTATCAGAAGGTTACAACGAAGGCACAACGTCGAGAGCCTGTCGACGGCCCTGTTGGTTCGCCTAGCGGCCGATGCAACTCGTAGCACGCCCACGCACGAGAACACGCACGTACGAGACATTACGAGACTCCTCGGCTCGACGTCATCGGGGAAAATAATGGGCAAGCAGTTTCGTGATAACGATGAGTTAGCGTTGCACCTCGCTTATATACACATACATCACGCTGACCCCAACCGTTTCTCGCTCTGCTCTTTATAGTTCTCCGAACGCAAGGACGGAGATAGAAAAGCTCCCCTTTCGTTCCCTCCATCTTCATGTCTATCGTCTCTATTTCCATCGAGCTTCGTAACCTGTTTGCGCTGCTCGACGATGGTAGCCGGATAACGGGCCGAGCCGATACGTGCTTGTTCCGTACACGTTTCCCGATGTATCCTGACCTAGAATAAATTCTCCCTTGAGATTCGACATATTCGAAAGGAGCGAGAGAAAGGCGGGCATAGAGAGAGAGAGAGAGAGAGAGAGAGATGGAGAAAAGGATAATAAAAAAGAAATAGAACGGAACGGAAAGAAAAGGATGAGCTGACTCAAAGAAAAGCACTGCCTTTCTTGGCGAATCGTCGAGTAGCTCCGAACCAAGAGGATTTCTACGAGATGCATCCTACGCTCGATACTCTCCCCGTGCGATATCTAAGCGCCGGAATCTCGAATATGCCGCAATGTACAGAGATAAGATGTATCAAGCTAAGATTACGCGTATGCTCCCTTCGTATACCCCACGAAACTACCTTCAAAGGAAATTTTTATGAGTAAATATATATGTGTATATATATATATATATATGTATATATGTGTATATGTATACACAGGTGGTATATGCTCGTCGCGCAAATAGATATCTGCTTCGAAATTGGATTACGATCGCGTGGAGTAACTTTACGCTCGGCTAACGACTACGACGATTAAGGATTAAGTGACTTATCCTCCCGCTATCGTCCTTCTCCTTTCGCGCGGGATACACCTTCCTAACTGCTCGAGTAATCGAGAAATCTTGTAGAAATTGCTTTCTATAATAATAAGATCATATTTTATCGTAAGACATTACGGGTATCACGTTTTTCTAACAAGTTGTGCTAACCCAATAATATTTATTATAACCAATCGAAAAGCGTATCGCATTATATTTTTTATACATCCGCTAATTTAATAATATAAATGTAAAAATGTTTAATTAACGAGGATACACGGTTCTCTTCTTGTCCGTACTCGTGTAACAAATTCGTAACGATATATATTCCTCGTAGAGGCAGAGTATATATATATATATATATATATATACATATATATTTTTGCGAGCGACGATAATGAGCGCATTACGCGTTAATGCGCGTTTCATTTTTTCTCAATTAAGGGCGAAAAGGGCGCAGAAACGTGGAACGAATAAACGATGACAGGGCTGCTCGAAAAGCTCGCTTTTTCGACGCGAGCCATATCGAAATGAATAATAATATTATGAGGAAATGGCGGAAAGCTTTACGATGCCAATAACGATATGCGTATTAGCGCATCACGTTTTGTCACCTTTCATCAGGATCGCAAAAATGAAGACCGACCGACCGACCGACCAATCGGCCGGCCGGCCACGATTAATCGGAATTAGAATTCTATTTCGAGGGGGAGTATCCGCGCGAACGAATCTTGCGCTTTCCAACGAATCCGAACGAATAATCGAATTGGGTTAATCCATATTTACCGTGGATCACAAAACTCAAGGATTATCGGGAAGTAATTTCTTCCTTCGGTCCGAGCTCGATTTCGAATCACGCGATTGTTCCTTCCTCGACGATTTCACTCTCCCGATAGACTCTTCGTTCTTTTCGATATCTCCTTTCTCGTTAACGATAGGGAAAGAGATGGAAAGAGAAAGAACGGGTAGTGAACTTTGTCGCCATAGATATCGAACCAAGAGAAAAAGTGATGCGATAAGGATGAAGGAGAAAACGCAAGGGAGCCTTCCGTTCACGTAACGCTCGGCAACGCGAGTCGAAACCTCAGCGAGGAACAAAAAGAGAGCATAAAAGAGGTACCACAGGAATATCTCCTCGTTTTCTCGTTGCTGAACCGAGAAAGAGAAAGAAAAGGAGAGAGCGAGGAGGGGGATAGAGGGGAGGCATCGTCGTTGCCACCGCATGATTCCATCGACCTGGAGTGTTTCGAAATAGGACGAGAGAGAGAGAGAGAGAGAGAGAGAGAAAGGAAAAAGAAAGGGAAAGAATCTCCGATAACGTTCGCCCTCCGTAGAAATTTCCCTTCCCTACGAGATCCCATTTGACGCCTTCCTCGCGTTATAGTTTCACGATCGTTTGCCCCTTAGGCGTGCGAGTCGACGGGGATTGGGGTCGGGAGGGGGACGGGGTGGAGAAACCAAGAGAGAAAAAGAGAGAATCGAGAGGAAGACGAAAATGTAGCTAGGCGTTCACAGGAGCAGCGGCAAGATGGCGCCGTTTTTTGCAGCAGCCCTTACTCCTCTCACCCTTTCCACTCTCGCCATTTTTACGATACTGTCGAGGTCGTACACAGGTGTAGCATACCAATACTTTTTCTTCCGTATTGCACGGCTGTCGAGAGAGAGAGAGAGAGAGAAAGAGAGGGGGAGGGAGGGAGGGAGGGAGGGAGAGAGAGAAAGAGAGAGAGAGTGGGAAAAAGAGAGGGAGGCTGCTACTAGCTATGGCTGCGGCGCCGCCGTCGGGATGGCCCGGAAGGGGGCTGTTGCTGCTGCTGCTGCTGCTGCTGCTGCTACTGCTGCCGGGAGTTGGGGGTGGTGAACCGGAGGAAGTACAGGCTGTTTTATTATGCAAAAGCTTTCTCGGCAGTTGGGTCGTTCTGGCTCCGCGCCGTTGCACCGGCATCGAGTAGGAGACAGAGACAGAGAGGAAAGGGGAAAAGGAGAGAGGTAAAGCGAAAAGGGGGGTAGGGAGGTGGAAAAGGGAGGAAAGGGAGAAAGTTACTAGTAGCGGTGGCGGTGATGGCGGTAGTGGTGGTGGTGGTGGTACCGGCGCTGCTGGCGGCTGTATAGCAGGTGGAGGAGGGTTGGAAAAAGCCTCCGCCCCTGAATCGCGTAAATACGGGCAGCCATTTTGCGATAAACTTTTTTCGGAACCTCCGAAAGAGAGAGAGGGAGAGAGAGGGAGAGAGAGAAAGGCACCTACCACCGTGCGTCCGAAACGAACGCTTAGGGGGTAGAGAGGGCTAAAAAAGTTTCAACATACTCTCGAAAGAGAAGCCGAGAGCTTCCGACGGAGCCAGCCGCGATATTCTACGCCCGGGAAACCTATAGACGAAAATTTTCGTTGAGTACGCAAACAGAGGAGGATCACCGAACGGCCGGTTGTTCGAGGGCCGTTGGAGGACCGCTGGAGAGCCGATGCTGGAGGGAGATGGTAGGGAGACAGAAAAAAAAAAGAAAACAAAAAACGACAAAACGAAAAAAAGAAGATACGAAAAAAAGGAAAAAAAAAGAGTGAAAGGATAAGAACAAACAATTAATCTCTCGCGCAGGAGTTCGAGCAGTGCTCCTCAAACCCGTGCGATCCATTCTTCGTTCTTTTCGAGTATCGATGTTCGCTTATCGTTTCCCAACCCTTCCGACCCCTTCCGACGATTTTATACGGTAGAAACCTATCGTTTTTACGTGCGGATTACAATTCCCGACTCGAAATACCTAGTACCGTGGATGAATAATGTTGCGCTTCACGAGATTACGCGTTTACGCCGTTTCGACGATTAGCGATACGATTATTGGCCCTCGTCCCACCCCGGCCCCTACCTCTTTTAACGAAGTTACGAACGAAACAGATGTTCGCTTTTATCGTAGCTTTTGCGCTCGCGAAAGCGCATTAAATCGAACCCGTCTCGTTAATTTTATTTAGGATTTTAATTAATTCATTTCCACGTTCCTGCCCCCACCTTTCATCTCCGGTGTGCCCGCTCATTTATATACATATACATATATATATATATATATATATATATATATATAATATATATATTTGTGTGTGTCTATCTATAATATATACATATAGATATGCAGATGTATATTCATTTTATAATAATATCCAACCTGCATGGAGAACGCTTTTCGCGCGTAAACGAGCATATATATTTCCGATAAAATACGCGATCGCGTTAACGTTCCATTTGCATTTCGTCCTTAATCCGCAAACGACGACGACAAGGACTACGACGACGACGTGGTCGTAAAATCGACAAGAGCGTCTTCGGCTCGACGAAATGTTCTCGCGGAAAATGACACGAGAAATTTTGCGAAAGTCCATAAAGGACAATGTCCGCGCCATTTATTTCAAGGATCGAGATAAACGCGAGAACGCTCTCGACGATCCTCTCTCTCTCTCTCTCTCTCTTCCCGAAAATAAACCGACCGCGAAAGTTTGAACCGCCTAGCTAAACGTTCGTTTACAGAGAAGGGTGAACTCTCGAGGATTGAGTTTCTTCTCCCTTCGCTCCTCTTCTCTCTTACGAAGTAAGAGGGATACACACGCCATGGCTGGCTCTTAGGGCAAATGGTCGAGACAAAATTTTCCGACTCTCGTTCTCCGTATGCGAGACGAAATGTTTATCGTTACTGCACCGCGAAGCCGTTTTCCAGAGGTAAAGAAATACCCTCTTTTTTCTCCTTCTCTCTCCTTCTATGTTTCTTCGATCCCTCTACCAAACTCTATTCTCTCTTTAGTTCGAGCTCCTTTGTTCGTTGTTACGTCGTTAAGTCGAACGACGACGTCGACGACAACGAGGCGGCATCGTTCTTTTCGTCGGTGTTGTATCACCGACTTCACTGACTGCATCTTCCTTTTTAACGGGTCTCGTGCTCGACTTTCACAACTATTTATATCGACTTACAATACCGATTTATCCTTTACGATCTTTGCGTCTTCAACGGCACGACGTTAGTTAGATATATTCGGAAACTTTGGGGGAATGTTACGGACACAAATTTTTCGAACGTCGAACACGATTACGACTCTTTCTCGACCTCCACATATATATTTGTGTGCGCGTGTGTACTACAAATCCGAATTAGGCCGTGTGTGAAATATATCCCGAGATAGAATTTTGTCCGTTTAAACCCGGTCGAAAAAGTAAAAGAGAAGCGAATCGAAATAAGAAGAGAGCGTCGCTTGATTCCAAGAAAGTTTGGCCTCTTACTTCGTTAGAGGAGAATAAGAGAGGAAAGATAAAGAGAGAACACGGGATCTCGTTCGGGATAAGACGCGTTCCAGGTAATCGGAAAGACCTACCGAATAAACGGACCTCGTCGAATGGCCAACTTGGTTTATTTCGTTTCTCGAAGAGGCTCGCGGTTAAAACAATTACTGAAAAAAAAGAAGGAAAAAAAAAAAGAAAAAAGAAACAATGAAAAAAA